AACAAAGGGCAATAATTCTGTCAAGTTACTGGCTTCGGAAAGTGACCTACTACTGTAATTTCAAATAAGTGTGCGAAATAACGAGCAACCAAGTCATTGCTGAGACATGAAACTGTGCCAGACGACGAACGTAAAACTTAAACCAAAGTGTTACGCGGACGCTGACGCCACTACCAGATGACTAGCATATTCCCACTTTTCTTCAAATACCAGCTTAAAATGACAAAAATAACTTTATGTTGTGCCTTCGTCTGAAATATTATACACTGCTATATACATGTATTCTTACGTGAATTGCAAGTTGTACCGGCCCATCCTTGTTGGCAACGACAAAAGAAGTGTACTCCTTACGGTGTGCTGGTGCCATGTACACAAGTGTTATTATAACAAGAGTTAAGAGCTGAAAGAAAAACATATGGAGCAGTATTAAAACAAAATAACATATTGAACTTGTTAAACTAGTACAATAGTTTCGCAATCCTACAATTATTGTTTGCATCAAATTCAATCATCAAGTTTTGAACTTTCTGTAGGGTGTATCCAAAGACGAAAAGGAACACAGCGATTAAACCGAGAGTTTAGCAATTTTAATAAACTAAATTAAAACTTAAAAAAACTAAACCCATTGCACTGACTTAACAAAATTTAACATTATTTAGGTTTTACAAATTTAATTAAAATTGACGAATTTTGTAAATTTTATCGAGAAAACCGCAAAAAAATGGAATAAAAAATAAGGCATCTGTTGAAAATATTTCACAATAAAAATTTAATACACAAATTTAAAATTAAAATAGACAATTGAAAATTTGACATTGATACAAAATCTTACACCTTTTTACACCCGCTTCATCTTATGATACAAGATTTCAAGAAATATCATAGATATAAATAAAGAGTAGGGAACATAACATAAGAATCCCTTAAGAAATCCCAACACGGCAAAATTGAAAATGTTGCAGGCTCGGTTTGATTGAGCCCGTTCATGTACGGTACTTTCTGGAAAGAGCAAGTTACCGTCCACGCCCCTTAGAACCGGCTTAAGCAAAATTCAACATTTAACATGAACTGGTACAATTTATAAAATCCACAGATGTGTTGATATGGCGGTTCAATGTGACACGTAAGTGCCATTCCATGAAAAGCGGCATATGATCCCCAAGTTAACAAATACGTGTGCCCCAAACGATAAAACAAAGGGCGGAACTAAATTAAATGGAATTTTGAAAGGGGATCAGAGGTTATGAAGCCTGTATATCACAGATAAGACGTTAAAAGAAACCCTCTGATAGTGTTGTAAACGAATGAAATGAATTGATATCGAAGATTCTTTCACAAGGAAAATTCTGTTGACAATATAAAGAAGCATTTTTTTCTCACCATATATCACAGAATTCTTATATGTTTTCCCACATAATTTCATTAATTACTTTAACGATTGGTAAGCTTATTTATAACATTTACATATCGATAACAAAATATCAACTGTTTTGGTTTCTCCAATTAATGTAATTTTCTGCGTATTCCATAATTTCACGTAAACAAAAAATTTTAAATGTAAAAAAACACAATCTATTTAAATGAAAAAATGTTAACATAAACATAGAAATAAATGAAAAAAAATTATTCAGGGGGGGCAAAAATAAATTTGGCCGAAAAGCCCAGGTTTTACCAATAAAGGTAGGGAAAAAAAAATTTTTAAAAAATTTTATACGGAAATTAAAAATTTAAAGAAAAACATAGAAGTCAAAAACCGATTGCCTGCCCTTTTTATTGAAGTTTTAAAAAACTGAATGATTTTTCGCAAATTTATCACTAAAAAGTCAAAAATTTAGTTTTTATTCGAACTTCAAAAAAAATACTTTTTAAAAAAATAATAGATAAAAAGTTTTTTACTCTTTTTTTGGTTGCATTTTCGTTATTCGTAATTTTAACTAAATTGTTCCGATATACCTTTGGGGCAGAGTTGTTTTAGTTGTTGTTTGAGCTGTTGTTGTTGTGGAAGTCGATGTTGGAGCTGTGGTTGTTTGTTTTGTTGATGCTAAAGTCGTGGATAAAGGAACGTTACACAAATCTTAATCACAACAGTCAATTGTCAGAGATCTTGAATCTTACTCCCTTTTCACACCATTATCACAAAACTGTAAGAATGAGAATGGCAGAACTATTTAACAACAACAAGAACAAACACATAAGCTACATTTTATTCAGAAACTTTCGACTTTTTACGGAAGCAATCCATGGAAAATACCATTTTAATAACAACAGGATGTTATGAGTTTTGTAATGAAATAAAAATGAGAGAAAAGCATGAAAACTATATCTCCACTTGTTTTAAAAAGTCGAAAATGACAATACTTGCAGAATTGTTTGTATATTCACTTTAAGTATAATCTAGATTAAAAGGTAGAAAAAGGTTTCACTTTCGAATAGTTGCAAAATTACCATTGTAACTGGCTTTTTTTAACGTCAATCCATTTCTTTTGATGTATCAGTTTAATATTTCTTTCTATTTCAAAGAATTTCAATCATAAAAAATGTAAAGAAAAAACAACAAACTTACATGTTCTGTTGCACACCCGAGACTGTATTTAACTTCACCAGTTCTTGTCATTTTCCTCATCTCCACCAAACACATCTTGAAAAATCAACACATTAGTACAATACTTTAAATAGCCTTGTTCTCCAAAATACATATTGTGCGTTAAACAGTTCTTATTTTGCACATTGAAAATGAAAACCCATGATTTTTCAAGTTTTGCACCACATGTTATTACAGTATAAATCATAATCCAAACAATCAATTTTTCTCATTTTCATTTCCAGAGTAAAAAATCTGTATATTATACATATTGTTTTCCGAGTCATACAGATTTTAAAAGCCGGTGCTAGGAGGCATGGATATTAGCTTGCACTTTCCAGTACTGTCCATGAACAGGCTCAATCAAAACGAGCCTGCAACAATTTAATTTTCTCGTTTTGTGCGTTCTTTAGTGATTCTGTTCCTTTTTTTTTACGATATTTTGTCTTTTATAAATCAATCATAATACTCGGACGATTATGGAAAATGTCACTTAAAAACACAAATACGAAAAATAATATTTATATGAAGTACCTTGGAGTCCCTCTAAATGATATAGAAATATATGTGTCATGGGTCGTATAATCATGTATTTGTCAAATCTTTTAAAGCGTTGATAACCTATATTTGTTATCAAAAAGTTAGTTTAGTATAAACCTCTTGTAAACAGTTTGTATTGAAGGAAACCATGCCGTATTTGATCTTATTCTGTAATGTATAAATGTTATTTTACTTCAATTTTGCATTTAATTTAACTGAAAAGTGTTTTTAAATTGTAGCTATGAATTTTTATTCCTTGCTTTATAAAATACTTAGTGCGCAAACGTGATTTGAATGCAGTTTTTCGGCGTTCTTTAGGGATTCTGTTTTTTATCTATTTTATGGTCACATTAGTTTAATTTGTGCCTTATGGCGGTCGCAAAAATTCGCCCGTACATATAATCAAAGATGTTATGTCTTCAATAAAGAAAGTTCAGCACGACAATAATGTTGTTTGTGCATGCATGCGGTATTTTTAGTTCCTTAATTTTTTATATTTTTCTAGTTGAGTGTTTCCAGTATTCCTATTTGAATACTATATATTCACCCTAAGGATATGTACTTGCTTTTTAAATTTGTGCTTTGACGCCTTATCTGTGATATGCAGGCTTCATAATTTCTGATCGTCCTTCGAAATTACGTTTTGTTTTGTTCTGCCCATTGTTTTTTCGTATAAAGCACCAACATTCTTTTACTTCAGGACAGTAAGCCGCTTTTTTATGGAAAAGCACTAGCGTGTCATATTGAAGGTTCCATGAAAACCGCTTTATGAACACATCTGCTGATGTATCCAAATTCAAAACTTCACAAATTTCATTTTATAATGTTGAATTCTCCTTCAGTCGATGCTAGATGGCATAGACGGTATCGTACACTTTTTATTACCGTCCGTGAACAGGCTCAGGCAAACCGAACTGGCAACAATTTTACTTTTGCCGTTTTGAGCTGTCTTTACCGATACTGCCTTTTTCTGTTTTGAAGAAAAAATATCTGCGGAGTTCTCGTGAATATTTCATGCAACAATCACTTAAATAGCTAAATTTTCACCCATTTTAATGTTACTAAAAAATTGTATAAATACGCCATGTTGATATATAGGCCCTAGTTTGATAAAGACTAATATGTGGCCATTATTCAATTTTATTTAGAACCAGTTAGTAAATACATTTGCACTGACATCTGTTAATCTTGTTTTGTCTCCTGGTTTCTTTAGTTTGTAGCTGGTGATGGTTGTTGTGGTTTTGTTGGCGACGGCGACGGCTGCTGCTGCTGTTGTTTTTGTTGTTGCTGTTGCATTAAACTAGATTGCATATGTTCCTTTATTCTTCTCAAGCGCAAACTCATATCACACAATAAAGGGATATTTTAGCATTCATCTTTTATTATAATTTAATAAAGTTAGCAAACTTTCTAGACAAAATAGTGAAACACAGACTCCTTTTAGAGTACTCATCACGGCAAAACTGGAACTGTTTCATGCTGGATTCATGAACGGTACTGGAAATTGCAAGCTACCGTCCATGGCCCCTTGTACCGACTTGAGCAGAATTCAACAATATACATAAAATGTTGAAGTTTTTAACATTGCCGTCAGCCGATATGTACGTTTAGCGGTGAAACATGTTAACTTATGTATGGTGCCCAATTAGAAGAATTAGTGTGCCGTAAACGAGAAAACAATGGGCGAAACTTATTGAACTTTACAACAAAGCAAATTAAACCAGGCAGCAAGTTATATGTGTGGTGATAATAAATATTTATAAAATATGAAAATAAGATCAACTGCTGTGCTGCCTGTTTCTGTCTATAAATATACAATATTTTCTTATTCTGCTTGCAGGGTTATACAGTTTGTCGGCACTAGTTGGTGTGCAGGGAGCCGGGAAATCTTGTGATGATATTGATCCAGAAGCATGCGCTAGTATGGCCAAACAAAATCTAAACTTGTGTTCGGAGCCTGTACTATCACAGTCAGCTTGTCCAAAGTTTTGTGGCAAATGTCGTAAGAAAAAAGCTTTGATGACTAGTAAAAAGTGCAGGATAAAATTAAAATATTGTGATTGACAAACAGTACAATAATTAGTTTTTGCTTAATATAATTTTCGCGGCACCAAAGCGATATCTTAAAACTTAAAAAAATGCACGTACGTGTTGTTTTCGATTTCTCATCATTTCGCCCATAAATACTCTTCTTTATTTACGTAATACTGTTTTCACATACAAATCATAATTATATATATACTAGGCTGTATTCACATTTATATAGACAATAATCATCTATATTTACGTAAAGTTATACCTATTCTATTTTATTCACAAATATCTGGTATTGTTTGTACAAATCATTATTATATAAATGAAATATTAAAAAATATTATAAGAAATAAAATGCGTTTTTTTCTAGAGAAACATATTTCCACTTTCTTCTAAATTAAGCCAATACACAAAATTTAAGGGGGAGACTTTCAAATTGTAATGTCAAAATGTATATTATAAAAAGAGAATTCAAGTGTTCTTTCTAAAATTACATGAAAAGAAAACATGAATATCCTCTAATTATTTTTTTACATACTACTGTTTTCATTATATTTACCTACTACTTTAGGGAGCATAAAATAAAGTTAAAAATTTTATGAAATCGATATTATTCTAGTCGATAAGAAGAAGAAAAGGTTTACAAAAAAAAGAAAAAGAAAAAAAAAACAACAACAACAAAAAACTATACATACTATACTAGGGAGCTTGATATAAAGTTATAATTTTATGAAATCTAAATGACGCTAGTCGATAAGAAGAATGAAAGGATACGAGAAACAAGTCATGAAATAATTAATTGAAAGAAATTTCTGTTTTTATAGCAACGACCTGCTACAACTGCAACATAACTAGTCCCGACGTGAGCTCGTGTAATACAGTCACGTGTGACAAGAACACGGTAATACAACTATCACATTATTTTGTTTAATTTTGAACATCATCTCTGAAGTATTGATTTTTGCACATTGTCAGTCTCAAAGCGGTATTTGTGTTGTTTCCAACGATGTATGTCTTTATTATTGTTAATTGTGGAGACTCATTTCGTATGACCTAGTTTATTATCGTCATTAGTAAGTATCCCTTTCCCCAATTTTTACCATTACCATCATTACTTATTATTGAAATTTTGCAAAATAACCCAAATATATAAAACGTGAAAGAAAGAGTTCAGGTTAACCTTGATTATGAATTATCTGCCCTTTATTTTTTTCTAATTAAAAGCACAGGTGGCAGTATCAGTGTTTGGACACCCCACCCCTATCTGCCCCTGGACCCCTACTACAACCATGAAAAAAAAAAACAACACTCTAAGGCTAACCATTAGGCACCAAATACAAAACCACCGATGAAATTATACATAAAAAAATTTCCACTATCAAAATTATGGTTATAGAAAGGTGAAAGGCAGATAGGGGTGGGGTGTCCAAACACTGATACTACCACCTGTGATTAAAAGCAGATGATTAAAAAAGGTCGGATACATCTTCCTTAAACTGTCTCTGTTGGACGAGTCTGTGTGTAAAGTGGCTTATAGGATCAGAATAGTTCACAACATTAATTAATTATAACCTATTTTCACACCATCATTTTTGACAGAACTATGTTACAATATGGATTTTATATGGAATCTTGAGATATCAAACACGACATAAAGGCTAAAAAGAGTACGATGAACGTTGGTATAGATTAAATACATTTCAAAATGAAAACGAGGCTATATGGAAAACAATAGGATTTAACTCAATACAGGATTGGAGCAGTACCTCTAGACGCTTGCAGAAATCATGATCACAAAATAGACATATATCTTTTTTTATCGCCGATTTTTACTTTTTTCGTTATTATCATACATAAATCGGTATGAAAAGGTGAATTAGACCTATAAAAGTTTATTCCTTTTGGTAAAAAGGCAAGATTTTAGCATTTTCTGATTCAAGCGCCTTGCCGGGTATATAGCGGAATACGGTATTAAGTATATTGCTCCAATCCTTTTTTTTAAGTCTCGCTCAAAACAATATGCATTGTATATATTTTTTTACTCTGGAAATAAAAAAGAGAACAATTGATTGTTTGGATAATGGTTTATACTGGAAAGCGGTGCAAATTTGGTGGAAAAGTTGAAAAATCATGGGTTATAATTTTCAGTGTGCAAAAAAGAGCTTTTCACGCAAAATATGTATTTTGAAGAACAAAGCTATTTTACGTATTGTACTAATGTGGTAGTGGTGTTTTTTTCAAGATGTGTTTGGTAGAAATGAGGAAAATAACAAAAACTGGACAAGTTAAATACAGTCTCGGGTGTGCAACAAAACATGTAAGATTGTTGTTTTTTCTTTACTTTTAGTACTTGAAATTCTTTAAAATAGAAAGAAATTTTAAACTGTTTTGTCAAAAGTAAAGGATTTGACGTGAAGTACAATAGTTATTTCGCAACTGTTGGAAATACATGTAGTTGGCATATCTTTTAATCCTGACTATACTTAAGCAAGAAAAGAATCTTTTGTTTGTTAAACTTTCTGCGACAAATATGTAACTCAATAACAGTTTCAATATTTTTTCCGCAAAAAGTGAATATACTTACTATTCTGCAAGTATTGTTATTTTCGACTTCTTCAAACAAGAGGAGACTTAGTTTCAATAGCTTTCTCATTGTGTCATTACCAAAACATGTTGTTATTGAAATGGTTGAAATTGTGTGGTGTTTTCGGTGCATTGCTTCGTCAAAAGAAGACAGTTTCTGAATAAAACGTAGCTCATGTTTTTGTTGTTGTTAGGTAGTTCTGCCATTCTCATTCTTACAGTTTTGTGATAATGGTGTGAAAAGGGAGTTAGATTCAAGATCTCTGACCATTGACTGTTGTGATAAAGATTTGTGTAACGTTCCTTTAGCCACGACTTTAGCATCGACAAAACAAACAACCACTGCAACACCGACTCCAGCATCGACTGCCACAACAACAATAACTCAAACAACAACTGAGACAACTGTTGTGACAAAAGGTATATCGGATCATATATAATGACAGGAAATACGGGAAAATGCCCAACAATTTGAAGAGATACTAACATTTATTTATCTATTCTATCAAAAGAAATGTTTTTGGGGTTTGAACTAAACATTCTGGCATATCAGACAGGATTATCTACCTTTTACACTGGTGCTAGAAATAACCTGTCTTACATCCCCATGTAAGACAAGTCGCGTGCTTTAAATGACTTCATTGCAGCGCGCCTTTTATGAATAAATTGCGTTCTTATCATGACGTCATATTACCGTTATGAATGTAGTTGTAAGTTCATAGGCTACTTTAAGAAAAAAGTGCATCAATGAGAATATCGGTTTTTGTAATTTCTGGTCTGAAAATAATCGATATGTGATATGCAAGAAAAAGTATCAAACACCGGCTGCAAGAAAAAGTATCAAACACTGGCTGTCGGTACAGATGGGAAAATCTAGCTCTCGGGTAACTGTGAAGCGGAAACGCGACAGAGCCTCGTTACCGCCGTAAACAGTTACTCTCGAGCTAGTTATTCCGGTCTGTACCGGCAGTCGTTGTTTGATTCACCTTGTCGCTAGCGAGGCACGCCAAACGCAGTGTTATCGGACATTCGTCTTGTCGTCCTGTCGCTCACGATACACGCTAAACGATGTGCTGTTGTGCGGCGTGATGTGGTGATGTCACATTGTCACTCAAATCAAATGAAATGATTGGCTATTTGTATATATATGAGCCAAGCGACAGGTAGACATCGCAATAACGCGCCGCACGACAACGAGCCCTTTATCATGCCTAGCTAGCGACACGGCGAAAGGCGATTACGACATAATTATGTTGTATTGTCGCTATCGACAACGTTACGTGCAAAGTGTACTAGATCAGCCTCCAAAGAAAACATTCACATTACCATTTATTGAAAAAGGATACTATTATGGTCACTTTAGTCGACCATTTTTGTTTTGGCATATTTGTTATGTAATTCGTGTACAACCGGAACACAAGAATGAGAAAATGCAACAATGCGAAAATGAAACAATGCGAAAATGCAATAATGCGAAAATGTAACAAGGTGAAAATGTAACAATGCGAAAATGCAACAATGCGAAAATGTAACAAGGCGAAAATGGAACAATGCTTGTTGTACCATTCTAAAAATATTTGAATTGTTTGTGTTAATTTTATATTTGTGTATTAAGTTTTATTGTAAAATATTTTCCACAGATCCGATTCCTTTACTGTAGCCTGATAACATTTATCATTATTCGTCAATTTTCTTATCTTACATGAATTAGAAAACCATATATAAACCATATATAAGGTAAATTGTAGTTGAGTATAGTACAATGTAGAGTTTAGTTTAGTTAATATAATTATGTTAATCATATCGGTATAATGGATTGTGTTCTCTTGCTTGTTTTGGCCTCAAACTTGATACACCAATACAGATAAGTTCAAAACATTGACGATCGAATATTGATACAAAAAGTGTTTGTAGGATTGCAAAACTGTTGTACAAGTTTATGTTATTTTGTTCTAAAACTGTTCCATATTTTTTTCTTCCAGCTCTGAACGTTTGTCATAATATTTCTTGTGTACATGGCACCTGCAAACAGTTCGGAACAGTCTTCTATTGTGTTTGCCAACAAGAATGGACCGGTAGAACTTGCAATTCACGTAAGAATACATAACAGTATATCATATTTTGACGAAAGCACATCATAAAGATTTGTTTGTCATTTAAGCTAGAACTTCATGTAAAGCGGGTCTGGCGCGGGTAACACTCTGGTTTAAGTTTTACGTACGTCGTCTTGTATAGTTAAATGTCTCAGCAATGACTTAAAAGATAGTTGCTTGTTATTTCGCATACTTATTTAAAATCACAAAAGGAGGTCACTTTCCGAAGCCAGAAACTGATATAGATTTTGACAAAATTATGACCCTTTGTGAACTTACAAAAACTTATTTGTAACATTTTCTGTTACTGAAGGTAGTCACTCAAAACTTGAAATAATGCATGTATATGTCTTTGTGACTATAAGTAGAAATTACTTCTAAGCCCTACAGCCCTTCAATTATGACCATTTGTAATCTCGGAAAATTTCCTGGTTCAGACTTTATTGCAAACCTATTCTCTTTACACCGTAATTGGATGTCACTATCTAAAGGCCTATTACTTTGACATGATTTTGTAATGAATAATGACTTCTGTTGACTAAAAGATTTCTTGGTAGAAGTGTTAAATTCAAAATTTTCTTGAAAAAAGTTTTCATTTCAACATCTGGAGAAATTAACTCCACTTAATTAAGCTAAATAAATGTTTTGGGGCCATAATTAGAGATTATTGCCCGAAACCCACAACAGGCTTATCTGGTTGAGATAGACCATAACTCAAACAATGATTTTGAATGAAAACAAATAAAGGCAAACAGAAAATTCACAAAATCCTATATCAATATTCAACACTAAGAAATATGCCATATATTTCAAATAAAATGTTCCTTTTTGTTATTTTCTTCATAATACAGGATTTTGTTATACTATCAAGCACTGACAGTCAAGCGCACTGTCTACTATTCCAACTTTTGTATTGACAGATTACTTATTTTTATGGGTGTTTTTTCTTTTTTATATTCTTTTTTTGTTGACATTTTGTTGTTGTTTGTTTTATTTTTGCTGTGGGGTTTTTTGGGGGGGGGGGGGGTTGGTGGATGGGTTTTTTTGGCGGATGGAGGTGGGGCTTTTCATTTCAAGCGATATAGCAAACCCTTTTTTATACATCTTTTGAGTTATCACAATATAAATTTTTTCTAAATGTTCTTCTTAGAAAAAAAATCTCAAAGTCTCTCCAAATACATCTACAACTTTGGAAATATTATAAAGTACATATATTTCATAAATTTAAGTCAGTTATCACTTTCTTTCAAGCCAACTATTGTGTTTCACGTCCTTGTCAACATGGATATTGTACGAACAATTTGCTGTCGTATAAATGTATTTGTTCAACAGGATATATGGGGAATCACTGTGATAAAGGTACGTTTTATTTCGGTTCCCGATTAATTTGGGTGCAGATTAAATATTGCTTTAACCGGTGTTAGGGGGTATAACAGATGTTGCAACATTCATTATTTCTTATAAATATGCCTTTATAATATAAAGTATTTTACAAGACTCTTGAATCGGTAATATTGAAGATTGAATACCACTTAAGCCGCTGCTTGTGGCGTTTAAGATATTGCACTTTTTTCATTATTTCTCAATGTGCATTTTTAATACAAAATCATTTTTATTTCCATAATTTAACGGTACCCTTTTTATTTAATTTGATCGTTCTTGTTACATCTCTACTTTCCCACATAATTTTACTTTTCTGCCATATAAAGGAGAGGAAAGCAGATTCTCTAAAGGATATTTTAATACATGCCCGAAAATAATGAATAGAAGCATACTGTGATGCCGTTGGGTTCGTCCGTGTATATGTCAGTCTATCCGTCCGTAAGTACAACATCCTGTTATTATTATCTGGTCAAATCATTAACTTCAGAAAGAATAAAATAGAGAGAAATAAAGAATCCCTAAAGAGCGCACAAAACCTCAAAATTGAAATGTTGCAGATTCGTTTTGAATGAGCCTGTTCATGGACGGTTCTTGAAAGTGTAAGTTACGTCTATAGCAGAAGTCTAAGCAGTTTTCAACATTTATCTTGTAATAAGTCTAGGTTTACTTCACATAGTAGGAACATTGCCGATGGCCCGAAAAGAATTCCGATAGATTTTGAGGTCATTAGTCAGTGTCACAGCTGTAGTTGGTGTAAAACATAATTGTGAGATTGATAATATTAGAAGTAATAAACCTTAGCTAGTAAACATTTCAATGTATTTTGCCAAAGACCAGTGGATGATCCCTCGGACCATGAAGGTAAAAGGTCAATGTCATAGTGACCTCTATTTAAGTCCAATCAATAACTTTAGAGGGAATAAGCCATGCTTTTGTATCTATGTAGAGAAACAGCTAACGACAACTAGATGCCCGAATTCATGTCGCAAGATAAACGGTCAAGGTCACAATGACATTTTGTCCTTTATCTCCTTTCGGTAAATTAGTTAAAATTGAAATAAAAAGATTCAAATTTTGCTAATTGTCACTTTTCCGGGGCCAGGTGGTGATGAACACTCTTCACTGTGAGGCCATTTGGTTAAGTTCACAGTAAAACTGTGTAAAATCCTTATTTAATCAATAGGGTTTCTTCAGTCAAAAAGTTGTAAATATTGTAAAGCATTTTTCATGACAAATCTGCAGTTGTGAAAGGCAACGAAGACGTATAGTATAAATGTCGTATGGACATAATCTATCTAAACATGTTTAAAATTATTCACTATCTGATCTTGCCAAATTAAATGTGGTTCGTGTGGCAAATCAGCTATAACGTTAAACTATAGTACAATTTTTTGCAAACTAATTCTTTTAAAATATCTATATATATTTTTTTCTTTTCAGTAATTGATTATTGTGCTTCAAATCCCTGTGTGCATGGACACTGCACGAATAACTTGACGACTTTTAAGTGTAGTTGTTCGTATGGATATGAGGGAACTCGCTGTGAAAAAAGTAGGTTGTATCCTCCTGTTTTCACTTTGTCTATAGACGTAACTTCTTTCTCCATTATTTGTCAAATGCAGGACATTTTTGGTTAGTAATAGCAGGCATTAAATATCGCCACCATTTTCGAAATACAATTTCTCCGTCTTATCTTCATTCGGCATTTTTCTTTTAATCACATGACAAAGATGATATTTTCATTTTCTTCTGGCCACAATATATATATCACATTATTTGTAAAGATATTTTTCTATCCTCTACATACAACATTGCCCCCCCCCCAGCATGTCTTGTGATATTCCATAACAAACCACATGTAATCACTCTTTTTCATTATTTCGTTTTAGTTTGCAGCCGCGACCTTCTTGTCATGATCGACCTATCGCTTTTAAATTATCTATCGACTGTGCACTTCCTGCAAAACTTAGTCAATAAAATGCAGATAGGATCTAACGGTGTGCTGATGGAGGTGGCGAGCTTTGCAGATTCTAGTGTGCACAATAGATGGAGACTTATATCGTATGTGTGACTATAGTATTTATCCGTTAATTTAGTTACTTTCATTAATTAGAATAATAGGTGAAAAGGTATATAATTTAGTCAAATATTACCTCGTTACACTCCTTATTGGGCACATTTGTAATATCCACATATATGAAAAAAAATTACATCCGCTTTTGGACGAATTTGTCTTACCCTTGTTAGGGCAACATTTATAATATATGTATAAAAATAATGCCTTATCCAATTTTTAAGCAACAATTAATGCAATTAAATGCACATGAACATACATGTTTAATCGTATATTATAAGTTTTTTGACCAATATTAGCAACGTATATAATAACGTATATCGTAATATATATATATATATATATTGAAGGTACACCTCTAAAAGCCGTCTTATATCCGAAATCAGGAACCAGCTGTACCATTCGGTTAAGCTTCCACCTCCGGACATATATGCACCAGTTCATAGTCTAAACATGCAAGGAACCAGTAGAATTGGTGATCGTGCTAACGTCCCGGATGTAGCTTTGATAATTACTGGTCCTTTCAGACATACCTACTATAACGTCAAATATGAAGCGGAAAAAACAAATATTAATATACCTATAACTACCATTGGAGTTGGCAATGTCAATACACAGATGCTTGGATCTATCGCCAAAAACAGTGCCCATGCTTTGACTGTCGGAAGGGTAGACGACCTAGTTGACAATGCATTTGTTGACAAAGTTTTGAACCTTCTCTGCTCGTAAAACATATAAGTTCAGTATATATAAAGAAATACATAAATAGAATGTAAAATTGTGAAAAATACAAATGAAAGGAATAAATCTATATATTAACCAGCTTAAGTTGTGTCATACTTAAGATAAATCAGCTATAAGAACTTCATAAATGTAAGCATATTCTACCACTTTTGAATGTCCTTTAGATCAACAAAACGTTAATACAGTTCCTTAAGAAATTTAGCAAAAAGTAATTATTTATAGAAACGAATGTTTAGAAACGAGATTATGCAACGGTAATTGGTTTAATCTCAACAGCCGTCATACAGATGATTTACCATATAACTGATTAGGTCAAAGAGGTCATTGCTTTTCAGAATTTTCTCCATGATTACATGTTACATCCGCCATGCAATTATGTTTGGCGATGAACATTATGTATGTTTATGCAGAATAAATATTGAACTGAATTTACCGTAGCTAGAACAATAAATGTATCGTGTTATTACGTTGTTGACCACTTAATAATCGCAATGTTAATGTTAAAATTTTGCATGCAGACTTTATTTCAAACCTATTCTCTTTACACCGTAATTGGAGGTCACTATCTAAAGGCCTATTACTTTGACATGATTTTTTAATGAATAATGACTTCTGTTGACTAAAAGATTTCTTGGTAGAAGTGTTGCATTCAATATTTTCTTGAAAAAGGTTTTCATTTCAACATCTGGAGATATTAACTTCACTTAATTAAAGCTGGGACCATAATGAGAGATTATTGCCCGAGACCCATAACAGGCTTATCTGGTTGAGATAGACCATAACTCAAACATTGATTTTGAATGAAAACAAATAACGGCAAAGAGAAAATTCACAAAATCTTTTATCAATATTCAAGACTAAGAAATAGGCCATATATTTCAAATGAAATGTTCCTTTTTGTTAGTTTCTTCATAATATAGGATTTTTTTATATTATCAAGCACTGACATTAGTCAAGCGCACTGTCTACTATTCCAGCTTTTGTATTGACAGATAACTTATTTTTATGGGTGTTTTTTCTTCTTTTTTTTTCTTTTTTTTGTTGACATTTTGTTGTTGTTTGTTTTATTTTTGCTGTGGGGTTTTTTGGCGGGGGTGGGGGGGTGGATGGTTTTTTTGGCGGGTGGGGCTTTTCATTTCAAGCGATATAGCAAACCCTTTTTTATTCATCTTTTGAGTTATCACAATATAATTTTTTTCAAAATGTTCTGCTTAGAAAAAAATTTCAAAGTCTCACCAAATACATCTACAACTTTGGAAATATTTATAAAGTACATATATTTCATAAATTTAAGTCAGTTATCTCTTTCTTTCAAGCGAACTATTGTGTTTCAACAATTTGCTGTCGTATAAATGTATTTGTTCAGCAGGATATATGGGTAATCACTGTGATAAAGGTACGTTTTATTTCGGTTCCCGCTTAATTTGGGTGCAGATTAGATATTGCTTTAGCCGGTGCTAGGGGCTAAATGCTGTTGCAACATTTATTATTTCTTATAAATATGCCTTTATAATATAACATATTTTTCAAGACACTTGAATCGGTAAAATTGAAGATTGAATACTATTTATGCCGGTGCTTGTGGTGTTTAAGATTTTTGCAGTTTTTCATTATTTCTCAATGTGCATTTTTAATACAAAATCATTTTTATTTCCATAATTTAACGGTACCCTTTTTATTTAATTTGATACATCTCTACTTTCCCACATAATTTTACTTTTCTGCCATATAAAGTAGAGGAAAGCAGATTCTCTAAAGAATAGTTTAATACATGCCCGAAAGTAATGAATAGAAGCATACTGTGATGCCATTGGGTTCGTCCGTATATATGTCCGTCTATCCGTCCGTCAGTACGAACATCCTGTTATCATTATCTGATCAAATCATTAACTTCAGAAAGAATAAAATAGAGAGAAATAAAGAATCCCTAAAGAGCGCACAAAACCTCAAAATTGAAATGTTGCAGGTTCGGTTTGAATGAGCCTGTTCATGGACGGTTCTTGAAAGTGCAAGTTACGTCTACGCCCAATATCAACAGTTTAAGCAGTTTTCAACATTTATCTTGTAATAAGTCTAGGTTTATATCACATGGTAGGAACATTGCCGATGGCTCGAAAAGAATCCCGATAGATTTTGAGGTCATTAGGTGAAAAGTCAGTGTCACAGCTGTAGTTGGTGTAAAACATAATTGTCAGATTGATAATGTTAGAAGTAATAAGCCTTAGCTAGTAAACATTTGAACGTACATTGCCAAAGACCAGTGGATGATCCCTTGGACCATGAGGGTTAAAGGTCAATGTCATAGTGACCTCTATTCAAGTCCAATCAATAACTTTAGAAGGAATAAGCCATGCTTTTGTATCTATGTAGAGAAACAGCTAACGACAACTAGATGCCCGAATTCATGTCGTTAGATAAACGGTCAATGTCACAATGACACTTTGTCTTTTATCTCCGTCCGGTTAATTAGTTCAAATTGAAATAAAATGAGTCAAAATTTGCTAATTGTCACTTTTCCGGAGCCAATTGATGAACACTCTTCCCTCTGAGGCCATTTGGTCAAGTTCAAAGTAAAACTGTAAAATGTAAAATCCTTATTTAATCAATAGGGTTTCTTCAGTCAAAAGGTTGTAAAGAGTGTAATGTATTTTGCATGAAAAAAACTGCAGTTGTAAAAGGCAAACGAAGACTTATAGTATAAGTGTCGTATGGACATAATCTATCTGAACATGTTTAAAATTATTCACTATCTGATCTTGCCAAATTAAATGTGGTTCGTGTGGCAAATCAGCTATAACGTTAAACTATAGTACATTTTTTGCAAACTAATTCTTTTAAAATATCTATATATATTTTTTTCTTTTCAGTAATTGATTATTGTGCTTCAAATCCCTGTGTGCATGGACACTGCACGAATAACTTGGTGACTTTTAAGTGTAGTTGTTCGTATGGATATGAGGGAACTCGCTGTGAGAAAAGTAGGTTGTATCCTCCTGTTTTCACTTTGTCTATAGACGTAACTTCTTTCTCCATTATTTGTCAAATGCAGGATAATTTTGGTTAGCAATAGCAGGCATTAAATATTGCCACCATTTTCGAAATTTAATTTCTCCGTCTTATCTTCATTCGGCATTTTTCTTTTAATCACATGACAAAGATTATATTTTCATTTTCTTCTGGCCACAATATATATATATCACATTATTTGTAAAGATATTTTTCTATCCTCTACATACAACATTGCCCCCCCCCCCCCTAAGCATGTCTTGTGATATTCCATAACAAACCACATGTAATCACTCTTTTTCATTATTTCGTTTTAGTTTGCAGCCGCGACCTTCTTGTCATGATTGACCTATCGCTTTTAAATTACCTATCGACTGTGCACTTCCTGCGAAACTTAGTCAATAAAATGCAGATAGGATCTAACGGTGTGCTGATGGAGGTGGCGAGCTTTGCAGAGTCCAGTGTGCACAATAGATGGAGACTTAGTTCGTATGTGTGACTATAGTATTTATCCTTTAATTTAGTTATTTTCATTAATTAGAATAATATTTTGTAAGGTGAAAAGGTATATAATTTAGTCAAATATTACCTTGTTTAACTCCTTATTGGGCTCATTTGTAGTATTCACCTATATGAAAAAAATAGAACCGCTTTTGGACAAATCTGTCTTACCCTTGTTGGGGCAACATTTATAATATATGTATAAAAATAATGCCTTATCCAATTTTTAGACAACAATTAATAAATTCACATGAACATACATGTTAAATCGTTTATTATACCTTTTTGGAACAATATTCGCAACGTTTACCATAATAACGTATATTGTAATATTCATATATTGAAGGTACACCTCTAAAAGCCGTCTTATACTCGAAATCAGAAACCAGCTGTACCATTTGGTTAAGCTTCCACCTCCGGACATATATGCACCAGTTCATAGTCTAAACATGCAAGGAACCAGTAGAATTGGTGATCGTGCTAACGTTCCGGATGTAGCTTTGATAATTTCTGGTCCTTTCAGACATACCTACTATAACGTCAAATATGAAGCGGAAAAAACAAATATTAATATACCTATAACTACCATTGGAGTTGGCAATACACAGATGCTTGGATCTATCGCCAAAAACAGTGCCCATGCTTTGACTGTCGGAAGGGTAGACGACCTAGTTGACAATGGATTTGTTGACAAAGTTTTGAACCTTCTCTGCTCGTAAAACATATAAGTTCAGTTTATATAAAGAAATACATAAATAGAATGTAAAGTTGTGAAAAATACAAATGAAAGGAATAAATCTATATATTAAACAGTTTAAGTTGTGTCATACTTAAGATAAATCAGCTATAAGAACTTCATAAATGTAAGCATATTCTACCACTTTTGAATGTCCTTTAGATCAACAAAACGTTAATATAGTTCCTTAAGAAATTTAGCAAAAAGTAATTATTTATAGAAACTAATGTTTAGAAACGAGATTAAGCAACGGTAATTGGTTTAATCTCAACAGCCGTCATACAGATGACTTACCATATAACTGATTAGGTCAAAGAGGTCATTGCTTTTCAGAATTTTCTCCATGATTACATGTTACATCAGCCATGCAATTATCAGGGGGTCGAACGTATAGCGGTGCGATACTCCTTTAAGCGAGGTGAATTCATGCGATACGCCCTAATTGCGGACGGGAGCGAAAACGAAAGTGGGTATGAGCATGATTTTTTCCAAATATTTGTTGTCTATTGTAATTTTTTGAAGAATAGCATTGTGCATGCTGATCAGACCTTATAATTGTGCATGATTGTCAAAATAAAATACTAAATTTTATGAAATTGAGGAAGCTATTGAGGTATTTGTTGCTGCAAATTCAACCGTCAACCTGATATGCACATGCAAACGAATAATGTATCAGTCGTTTTAAAACGAGATATTCGATAAGTTTAAGTCCCAACATGTTTATTTTTGAAAACAAAACGATATACAAGAGTAGT